AAGCCAGGCACAGTGGCATACACCTGATATCTCAGCTGCTCTGGAGGCTGAGGTGGGAGGATCGCTTGAGCCCAGGAGATCAAGGCTACAGTGAGCTGAGATTGCGCCACTGCACTCCAGCCTGGGTGATGACAGAGCAAGACCCTGTCTCATAAAAAGGGAAGGGAGGCTAGGTGCGGTGGCTCATGCCTGTAATCCCAGCACTTTGGGAGGCCGAGGAGGGTGGATCGCCTGAGGTTGAGAGTTTGAGACCAGACTGGCCAACATGGAGAAACCCTGTCTCTACTAAAAATACAAAATTAGCTGGGCATGGTAGCATATGCCTGTAATCCCAGCTACTTGGGAGGCTGAGGCAGGAGAATCGCTTGAACCTGGTAGGTGGAGGTTGCAGTGAGTTGAGATCATGTCAATGATCTCCAGCCTGGGCAACAAGAGTGGAACTTGATCTCAAAAAAAAAAAAAAAGAAAAAAAAAAGAAAGAAAGAAAGAAAGAAGGGAAGGGGAAGGGGAAAAGAAGAGAAAAAAAGTAAAATGAGCATCTTGTGATTTTTATATGGTAGGCTCAGTTATGGGATTGCACGCGTAGGGGTGGATTTGACCCATCAAACAGGTCTGGAGCCGAGGGAGTGTGGTCACTCATTTTCACACTAGGTTTCCTTGGTGGGCAGCTCTGAGCAGCCCTATGTTTGGGGTGAGCGATGCAGCTTCAGACCCCGCTGTCTGAAGGGGGTGGTCCAGCCTGGGGAAGAACCGAGGCTGGCTGCACACAGACCCACTCCACTAAAGGAATGCGGTGCTTGGATGACTCCAACACTAAGGCCAAACACAAGTTTGTCATAAAAGCTGAAAACTGCATGGTGAGAAAGAAAGAGAGAAAGATTGGAAAATCCAACAACCTTAGAATCCAGGTCCCAGAAGGGCAGGAGCTGTGGGTGAGGTGAGACACCTGAGGTCCCACAGCTCTAGTGCTGCCACCTCGCCATCACCACCCGCCAGCGTCCCCTGCCTGAGCCCTGCAGGCAGCTCAGTTTGTGAGCTCTGTGCCAAGAGTCAGGTATTTCCTGCCCCCAGCTCGCCCCTACCCAGAGCAAAGGACCCACTCCCCGAAGGCCTTACCAGAGACACTGAGGTTTGTTTTTTCCATCCATTTATTATTTTTCTTGGATTCCATCCTCAGCCCCAGCACACCACTGTCATTGACGTATACCGGGTTGATTCTCAGTGTGCAGTTATTCTCGTCGTTCCCCAGGAATTGCACCCTTTGTTCAGAAGGAAACGTTCCGTCCTCTTTGTTTTCATAGAGTCTGGTCCCCTTGAAGCTCTTGGTCTTGTCGTCATAGTTAGGATTGTGGAACAGGATGAATCTTTTCAGAGCATCATTGAGATCTGGGATTCTGTAGGTGCAAGGGACCCAGACGCAGGCCCCCTCCCAGGCGTAGAGGGCTTTAGGGTGCTGAAATCTCCAATCACTTGAGGCAGAGAAAGCCAAGTATTCTGAAACTCACCACAGTGATCAGAAAGCATTATTGAGGGGGCATGAGAGCCTTCTTTTAAAAACTATTCTTTATTTTTAAATTTGTTTAATTTTTTATTCTTTTTAGAGACAGGAGGGTCTGGCTATGTTGCCCAGGCTGGTCTTGAACTCCTGACCTCAAGTGATCCTCCCGCCTCAGCCTCACAAAGTGCTGGGGTCACAGGCATGAGCCACCACACCCAGCCGAGACCTTTCAAAAGACTAAAGAATTCCCTCTGAAGATAGTGGGAGAGATACAGAGAATCACAAAGACAGCAGGATGCAAAGAGATAAGCATATGTATATATGGGAAACGTACATATTTGTATGTACATTTGTAATCTATATACACTGGCCACCCCACCCTACCCTATGTTGACGCCTCTCAGCCCAGGTCTTTCCTCCTCCTCCAGTGCCCACTGACATCCCAGAACCCCAGTACCAGCCCAGGCCACAGTCCTTACCCAGGAGCAGGAGCCAGGGGCCGAGGAGATGCATGGTGTCGTGTCTGGGCGGAAGCCTGAGCAGGGGAGAGTTTGTCTTTGAGCCGTCTGGTGGCTTACTTCTTCCACACGGCTTTTCTTGCTCACCCAGTGAGCTCTGACCCTTCCCCTGGCTCCAGGAGGACCCAGTCTGATTGCATTGTGGGGATATGGCATTTGGGATCCTCACAGAGTTCTTTCGTTTTTGGTTTTTTGTTTGTTTGTTTTTTTGAGACAGAGTCTCGCTCTGCCACCCAGGATGGAGTGCAGTGGTGCGATCTCAGCTCACTGCAACCTCTGCTTCCCAGGCTCAAGTGTTTTTCTGGCCTCAGCTCCCCAAGTAGCTGGGTAAAGGCAGGTGCCACCATGCCCAACTAATTTTTGTATTTTTAGTAGATATGGGGTTTCACCATGTTGGCCAGGCTGGTCTTGAACTCCTGACCTCATGAACCACCCACCTCAGCCTCCCAAAGTGCTGGGACTACAGGTGTGAGCCACTGCTCCCAGCCCAGAGTTTTTTCTCCTTCAACCTGAAAGCTCCATGGGGGCAGTCTCTCTCTCTTTTCAGAACTCCTTCCTTTCTTCCTTCATTCCTCCCTTGCTTTCTTTTTTCCATCCATTCATTCATCCATCTCTAATTTTATAAGCTTCCTACCCAGGTCTCAGGCTTTGAGTGGCAGCAGACCACTCAATGCCTCAAATGTCAGGCCCTGGATAACATGGAGCGCTCCCTGGTGCTACTCATCAAGGATTATACTCAGGGACAGACATGGTCAAAATTTGGTTTGAAAGATCAGGTAAAAGAAAATTCTAAAACCAGTAACAAAGTATGGGTTATCCGGGCACAGTGGCTCATGCCTGTAATCCCAATACTTTGGGAGGCCGAGGCAGGCCTATCACTTGGGGTCGGGACTTCAAGAGCAGCCTGGCCAACATGGTGAATCACCATCTTTTCTTTCTGTTTGAGACCGAGTTTCACTCTTGTTGCCCAGGCTGGAGTGTAATGGTATGATCTCAGCTCACCCCAACCTCTGCCTTCAGGGTTCAAATTACTCTCCTGCCTCAGCCTCCTGAGTAGATGGGATTACAGGCATGCACCACCACACCTGGCTAATTTTGTATTTTTAGTAGAGATGGGGTTTCTCCATGTTTGTCAGGCTGGTCTTGAACTCCCAACCTCAGGTGGTCCGCCCAGTTCGGCCTCCCAGAGTGCTAGGATTACAGGTGTGAGCTACCGCACCCAGCCCGAAACCCCATCTATACTAAAAATACAAAAAAAAAATCAGCTGGGCATGGTGGTGCACCCTGTAATCTCAGCTACCGAGGAGGCTGAGGCAGGAGAATCACTTGAACCCAGGAGGCGAAGGTTGCAGTGAGCCAAGATCTCACCACTGCTCTCCAGCCTGGTTGACAGGGCAAGACCTTGTCTCAAAAACAGCAGCAACAACAACAACAACAAACCCCAAAACATAAAAAAACAAAGAATGACACCAGAAGAGCATTTGGAGGGGTCTGGAAGGTCTCAGGAGAATGTGGTCCAGAGTTCCCCCTCAGATGCCCCACAGGCCAGGCAGGAAACAAATCAACCAGGTGGTGACAAAAGTTGTGCCTCCTCTAAAGGTGGTGGCTGTCTCAGTTCCAGCCAGTTATTGCCAGACAGAACCTGACTGAGCTCACACTGTCTGATCTTCCACTGTTTTAAGAGAAGCAGCCAAGCTTCTATGTGGAATGTCCTACTTCAGAAGAAAAATAGACCAGGAGAGGATTACTTGAAGTCAGGAGTTTGAGACTAGCCTGGGCAACATAGCAAGACCTCGTGTCTACAAAAAAATTTAAAAACTAGCCAGGCATGGTGTCGCACACCTGCAGTCTCAGCTAATCAAGAGGCTGAGGTGGGAGGATCATTTGAGCCCAGGAAGTCAAGCCCGTGGTGATCTCCCCACTGCACTCCAGCCTGGGCAACAGAGCGAGACCCCATCTCAAAAAAAATAAATAAAAATAAATAAACTAAAAATATACAGAGCTTGTCCAAAAAAACCTGTCTGTGGGTTAGGTTTTGCAACTACTGCCCATCTCTCTCTTCCTCTATGCAATGAATGTGTCCTCTACCACCCCTGACCTCTGCACAGAGTTATATTTACATAGAGTTAAATTTAAGTCCCAATTTACATGATCGTGGCCCTCTGTGCTGGCCCCCGGGGACCCCAAAGGATGTGACAGCAGAGTGTGTCTCCGGTCTCAGCACCAACACAAGCCCCTCCCACTCACCCACCAATGTTTCCCAGGCATCAGTGTTCCCCTTTCTGTCTGTTTATCTCCTCTAGCCACATGGCTCATGCCGAGGGCTGCTGGGTGTCCAGTCATGGGTGTGGGGAATGCTAAGCTGCTTGCCGACAGCAGGAAGGGGGTCTGGCCTAGCCTGAGCATGAATTCGGGGTGCAGGGACTGAAGCTGAGGCAGATTCCCCAGGCAGAGCTGACATCAGCCCTGCAGGTGCTCATAATGTCACATGCAAAAGTCTTCAAGGTCACATCCACTTGAGAAAAGCAGGGTTAAAGAGTTAAGTACGATTTTTTTTTTTTTTTTTTTGAGAGTCTCATTCTGTTACCCAGGCTGGAGTGCAGTGGCATGATCTCAGCTCACTGCAACCTCTGCTGGGTTCAAGTGATTCTCCTGCCTCAGCCTCCTGAGTAGCTGGGACTCCAGGCATGTGCCACCCCTGCCATCTGATTTTTTGTCTGTTTGTTTGTTTTCCTAGAGATGGGGTTTGACCATGTTGGCCAGGCTGGTTTCAAACTCCTGACCTCAGGTGATTCGCCCAACTTAGCCTCCCAAAGTGTTGGGATTACAGGCATGAGCCGCCATGCCTGGCATAAGTTAGATTCCTTACTGCAGGACTTTAAAAACCTTTTAGTAAACACTACCTACACCATTAATCTCTAGACATGGGGATTAGAGTATAGTATAATAGATTGTCCACAACTTCTTTAGCCATGGGATCTATTTTATATGTTGCATAAAAACCTTTGCAGGGTTGCAGGGCCAGTGCTCTTTGAAATCCCCTTAAGGTTCCCTAAGGGGTAACAAGGGAACCTATGACAAGGACTAGACTCCAATCCATGCAGCTGAGACTTGCCTCCAGGAGCTTGGCCATTGTGCCTGCTCTGCCAGCACCCTCTAGCCATACCCTCCTCTGGGATGGGCTGGAGTATCCCAGCACGAGCAGGAGACGGGTACCTCCAGAGCAGGGCTGTGGGCTGCCTTAAGGAGCTCCAGGAGTCTCTGGAGCACAGGAGTAGGGCCCCAGGCCCAGGAATTGGAAGACTGAGTATTGAGAGCAAATTCTGACGTGTGTGATAATATCATATTGCTTGCTGAGGGCGGCAGCAAGAAAATCCTAGTCAGCCCCCTAAAGCAGAAAACTGCTTAAGACGTTCTAAAACAGTAACCAATATGAATATGTCCCACACCAGACGAATTAGTTCTTTGAACACAGGCTATGTGACTCTTTCCTTTCATTCCCTTGTAAAGAGTACTTTCTAGTTTATCTTTAAATTATAGTGAACATACACTAGCTGTCTGGTTAGTTTATCTTTAACCTATGAAAGAGCAAAGAGCATCCACTTGTTAAACTTGTCACTGGAATGTAAAGAATAAATACGTGGGTCAGAGTCTGCTCTGGGCTCTCAGCTGGGAATGCTGTAAGTCCCCAGATGTCTCACCTTTGCTTTCTATCTCTCTGTGTCTGTTTCTTAATTCCTGCAGCACCCCCTGGGTTGGGGTCTCCACAGCCAAGCTGGTCTCGGCAGCTGAGGGTGGGGTGGAGGTTAGGGAGAGCAGTCATTATGCACAGAGGCTCAGGACAGGGCCATGCTGTCCAGACCTTCTTAGCTCTGCCTTGTTGAGGGCCTTGCAGAATCTTGGGGCCAGCCTCCCTGGCTCCATTCTTCCCTCCTGGGCATCCAATAACTTACCCTACTGCTCGGAAAACTTCACCAGGCCTGGCAAGGTGGATACTCAAGACAGGGGTCTGTCTACAACCTGTTGTAACACAGGTAAGAGAGAGCCAGGGAGGTCCCCGCTGTGTCCCCAGCTCTGGGAGGTATGTCTGGCCCATCTGCTGTTCCATAACTTGCTTGTCAAATGCAAAATAAAAGCAAAATGGTTTTTACCTGTTTCCGCGTGTCCTCCTTCTTCAGGGACCCTGGCAGCATCTGAGAGTGAAAGGAGAAGTATAGTAAAGTCTCTGGTCAGAGAGGTTTACTTCCATGGCCACACCCCCTGCTTCTCTGTGGCTCTTCGGGGGACCAAGCAGCATTGTGACCTGGGGAGTGGGGAAGAGACAATGGAGGGGATGCGGGCTTGGAGTCAGATTGGAAGACTAGCATATCTACAGGCACTTATTCCTTTCTGTGCATGGGTTTGCAATATCAGATCAAAATGGGCTCCTCCACAACTCCTCCTTTACCCAGCTCTCAGGAAATATGAATGACTCAAGCCAAGCAGGAGGACTGCCAGCTCGCTGAAAAAGGCACAGGGCCACCTGAAAGTATTTGTAGTTTAGTGACACCATCCAGTTACTACCACTTCCACTACTTTCCATCATAAGCATAAATGATGGGGTATCTGACCACCTGCACTGAAGCTTCAGCAGCCCCAAGGGCTGAGGGAGGAGCACACAGATATCGAGAAGGAAAAAGATATCTTGGCCAGGTGCGGTGGCTCACGCCTGTAATCCCAGCACTTTGGGAGGCCGAGGCAGGTGGTTCACATGAGGTCAGGAGTTCGAGACCATCCTGGCCAACATGGTAAAACCCCATCTCTACTAAAAATGAAAACGTATGGCCACACAAAAAATTAGCTGGATGTAGTGGTCAGCACCTGTAATCCCAGCTACTCTGGAGGCTGAGGCAGAAGAATTGCTTGAACCTGGGAATCAGAGGTTGCAGCGAGACGAGATCATGCCACTGTACTCCAGCCTGGTGACAGAAGGAGACTCTGTCTTAAAAAATAATAATAAATATTATTTGATAATAAAAAGGAATGAGGTACTGATGGGTGCTATGACATGGATAAACTTTTTATTTATTTATTTTTAGAGAGAGTTTCACTCTTGTTGCCCAGGCTGGAGTGCAGTGGCATGATCGTGGCTCACTGCAACCTCCGCCTCCCGGGTTCAAGCAATTCTCCTGCCTCAACCTCCTGAGTAACTGGGATTACAGGTGCACACCACCACATTCAGCTAATTTTTCATATTGTTAGTAGAGACAGGGTTTTACCATGTTGGCCAGGCTGGTCCTGAACTCCTGACCTCAGGGGATCCACCCACCTTGGTCTCCCAAAGTGCTGGGATTACAGGTGTGAGCTACCACACCCAGCAATGGATGAACTTTGAAAACATTAAGTGAAAGAAGCCAGTCACAAAATGTTACATATTGTGTGATTCCATTCATATGAAATATTCAGAAAAGGCAAATCTGTAGAGACAGAAGTCGATCTAGTGGTTGCATAGGGCTGGGGTGGTTGGGGAATGCGAGAGGAAATGAAAAGTGACTGCTCATGGGCATGAGATTATTATGGGGGTGATGAAATGTTCTAAAACTGGTTGTGGTGATGGTTGTAAAACAGTGAATAGACTCAAGACCATTCAACTGGACATTTTACATGGGTGTGTTTTATGGCATGTGATGAATTATATCTCAGCAAAGCTGTTATATATGTAGTATATATGTAATATATGACAGCTTTACATTATATAGTGTGTGTGTATATATGTGTGTGGTGTATGTATATCATGTATATATAGTAAAAACCAGGCTGGGCGTGATGGCTCACACCTGTAATCCAGGATTTTGGGAGGCTGAGGCAGGCAGATCACCTGAGGTCAGGAGTTGAAGCCCAGCCTGGCCAACATGGCAAAACCCTATCTCTACTCAAAATACAAAAATTAGCAGGGCATGGTGGTATGTGCCTATAATCCCAGCTACTCAGGAAGCTGAGGTAGGAGAGTCACCTGAGTCCGGGGGGTAGAGGTTGCAGTGAGCCTCGATCCAGCTACACTCCAGCCTGGGTGACAGATGGAGATTCTGTCTCTAAATAAATAAAAACCAGTCCAATTAGAAAATAGGAAAAAGATAGGAAGACACATGTTCCTGAAGAAGGTATACAGAAGGCAAATAAGCACATGAAAAGATGTCCCACATCACCAGCCACTAGTGAAATGCAAATTGAAACCCATGACAAGATATCACTTTAGAACAGCTAAAATTTAAAAACCAATAATGACAACGCCAAACACTGGTGAGAATGCCGTGAACTTGAATCATTACACGTGGTCGGTGGGAATGCAAAATGATCCGGCTACTCTGGAAAAGAGTTTGTCACTTTCCTGAAAAACTAAACAAAATATACCTACCAGATGACCCAGCAATTGCACTCCTGGGCATTTTATCCTCAAGAAATGAAAACGTATGGCCACACAAAACCCTGCACACAATTATTCACAGCAGCTTTATTTGTAATAGCTAAAAACTAGAAACAGGCCGGGCGCAGTGGCTCACGCCCAGGCCGAGGCAGGCAATCACCTGAGGTCAGGAGTTCAAGACCAGCCTGGCCAAGAGGGTGAAACCCATCTCTACTAAAAATACAAAATTACCTGGGTGTGGTGGTGCACGTCTGTAATCCCAGATACTCCGGAGGCTAAGGCAAGAGAACTGCTTGAACTTGGGAGGCAGAGGTTGCAGTGAGCTGAGATTGCACCATTGCTTTCTAGCCTGGGCAACAAGAGTGAGACTCTGTCTCAAAAAGAAACAAAACAAAACAAAACAAAAAACAAAAACAAAACTGGAAACATCCAATGCCTCCGACAGGTGAGTTGCTTAACAGATTATGATACATCCATGCCATGGAGTAATATGCAGCAATAGAAAGGAGTGAGGTGTGAATAGGATACGGGCAACAACTTGGATAATTCTGAAGAGCAGTACAGAAAGTGAAAAAAACCAGTCTCCAAGGATCACATGTGTTGTAACATTCTTTTTGTTTGTTTTTTGAGACGGAGTTTCGCCCTGTCGCTCAGGCTGGAGTGCAGTTGCAGGATCTCAACTCGCTGCAACCTCTGCCTCCCAGGTTCAAATGATTCTTCTGCTTCAGCTTCTTAAGCAGGAGATTACAGGCACCTGCCACCACCAGGCCTGGCTAATTTTTGTATTTTAGTAGAGACGGGGGTTCACCAGGTTGGCCAGGCTGGTCTCGAACTCCTGACCTCAAGTGATCCACCTGCTCTCTGGGATTACAGGTGTGAGCCACCGCGCCTGGTCGTAACATTTTTGAAATAACAAAATGATACAGGTGGAGAAGATGAAAAGTTGCCAGGGGTTAGGGATGGTGGGAAAGTGTACGACTCTGAAGGGTGTAGCATGAGGGAGGTCTTTGTAGTGACAGAATAATTCTGTATCTGAATTGCAGTGGTGGTTATATTCATCTAGATGTGATAAAATGGCATAGAACTGTACACACACATTATACCAATGTCAAATTCCTGGTTTTGATATTGACCTGAATGATTTTAAAAGTAACCATCAGGGCACGCTGGGTGAAGAGCACACCAGACTTCTCTGTTCTATCTTTGCAACTTTCTGTGAATCTATACTTATTTCAAAATAAAATTAAAAAAAAATTTTTTTTTTTGCAGCCTCGAACTGGAGGTGGGCTCAAGTGATCCTCAGCCACCCGAGTAACTAGAACTACAGGCGCCACTCAGCTAATTTATTTTTTATTTTTTGTTGAGTTGGGGATTCTCTACATTGCCCATTCTGGTCTGGAACTCCTGGCCTCAAGCCATCCGCTGCATCCGGCTTCCAAGATGCTAGGATTACAGGCACAAGTCACCGCACCTGGCCATGATTTTTTTTTTTTAACCCCAGCAATCTCAATGCGGGACTCCAGGCCAGGTGACCAGGCCCCAAAGGTATCAGGCAGGGGACCCTTTGGGACTCGAATCCTTGCTCCTCACCTAGAAGGAGAAGCTGAGGTTCCTGCAGGCCACAGCACCAGGCGTGGCTCATAGTCTTGTAACATGAGGAGACTGGACCATGGGCTTGTGGATGTGTCTTGATTTCAGAGGCCAAGGGCTGCGTGGAGAAGGCAAGGGAGGAGGAGCAGGACCCCTGAAAGCGCAACCTCTACGCTTTCCCTTTTCCTTCCCCCTTTACTCCAAACAGGTCACTGGTCTCCTTTTTCGGTGACTTGACTGTCAGCCCCTTGCCAGGGAAGCAGTGAAACCAGGCAACTAACAGAGTCCCTGTGAGCCCTGGGTGGCCACGCCCAGCCTGGCTGTGTCCCCCTCGCCCCTGACCTCTGCCCAGGACAGTAATAAGATGAGAACAACAACAATAGCCCTTCCTCACAGGGCTAGCGACAGCACACACGCGACACACTCAGCAGCCCGCACATCCCATGACAAGCATGCAGTAAAACCACCTGGGTTCCAGTCCCAGTTCTGCCATGAATCTGCTGTGACATTGCCTCAGTTTCCCCTCCCAGGGTGGTAATAAGATTGCTGCTACGACTTCAGGGCTGTGCTGTGACAGTTCCCAACCCCTACAGCACTTTGCACGGTGGCTACTATGGAACGGGCTCTCCGTAAAAGAGAGCTGTCATTATTCCAGACATTGTTATGTGCCCTGCTGACCCAGCACTCCCTGGAGACATTCATTCATGCACCTCTGGCTACTCAGCCCCAGCCTGAGCTTCACAGCGAGGCCCTTTGGGACCAAACTGTCATTTCCTCCCCGCTCCCCAGGCAGAGCGAGCTCTAGGGTGGGAAGGAGTGTTCAGCTCAGTTGCTGCCAGGCTTCTCTGTTCTATCTTTGCAACTTCCTGTGATAATTATTTCAAAATTAAAAGAATTTTTTTTTTAAACTTGTGAGGTGAGGTTGTCACCTCCTGTTTAAGGAGCAGCCTGGAGTTGAAGAGCAAGAAGAGTGGAGGAAGAAAGAGGCTTGGCTATTTCCTTCTCCTTTTTCTCTTTTTTTTCTCTTATTTACTTATTTATTTGAAATGGAGTCTGGCTCTGTCACCCAGGCTGGAATGTAGTGGTGTGATCTCGGCTCACTGCAACCTCCGCCTCCTGAGTTCAAGTGATTCTCCTGCCTCAGCCTTCCAAGTAGCTGGGACTACAGGTGTGCACCTGGCTAATTTTTGTATTTTTAATAGAGATGGGGTTTCGCCATGTTGGCCAAGCTGGTCTCGAGCTCCTGACCTCGGGTGATCTGCCCGCCTTGGCCTCCCGAAGTGCTGGGATTACAGACATGAGACACCGCACTCAGCCTTTTTTTTTTTTTTTCTTTTTTAGGGACTCAGTCTTACTCTGTTTCCTGGTTTGGAGTACAATCACAGCTCACTGCAGACTCAAACTCCTGGGCTCAAGCCGTCCTCCTGCCTCAGCCTCCCGAGTAGCTGGGACTACAGGCATGCACCACTGTGGAAAGTAGGAAAGTTCCTCTTTAAAGTTTTCTTTCTTGTTAAAGAATAAACCATAAGTGTGGTAATAACTCTTTGTTAAGCCCTATCCTATGTAGCTGATAGATATGCCATGCTTACAGGCACGTAGTACGTTCTATGTCCTTGTACTTTAACCAAGGTATCTGTGCTGAACGTGCTCACAGGCATGTCCCAGCTCGCCATTGGTTTTGCCTGTTTAGAAAAGCGGTAAGATATTAGCCAATTGGGTTTTAGTTTAAATTGTGAGGTCTGGCTCCAGCAAATCAAAATCAGACACAGCAGTAAGGACAACCCCAAAGGCATAAGGGATAAACATGTCTGCTTTTCTTTTGTTCGTTATACTCTCGTCACAAGATGGCTAGCGAGGGTACCCTTCCTGCCATACAGGAAGTACAAAAGTAAAAAGTGTTTTGCTGAGAGATCTTTTGTCTCAGTGCTGATTTTTCTTTGCGGCACCCAGCATCTGTTTCCAACAGCCACTGTGCCCGGCTTATTTTTAAACATTTTTTTCCTACATACAATGTTTTGCTCTGTTGCCTGGTTTTGAACTCCTGGAAAGCACTTCTCAGCAGTGCAGTGCATCTCCACCCTGGCCTGTCACAAGAGCCGGGCCATGTATCATCAGCCACCCGGGGAGGAGGCTCTGGAGTGGCCAGTGCTGGGCGGAAGCTCTTTCATCAAGTAGGATAATGGAGCTGACTGCCCCAGGCACCGTCCCAGGGACAGGGTGGGAGGCGGGCCAGGGACAGATGGGTCATCTCCATCAGGAGTGACTCAGGAGGTTGGCAGACCGGGAGGGACAAAGAGGCCCGTGTCATGACCATGGCCTGGTGCCTGAGTGTCCTCCCTCCCACACATGGTGGCCCAGCCCTCCTGGCATGTGAGGCCATGAGACCTTCTCACCTCCCTTTTTGCCCTGGCAGACCTCATCTCAGCGTCTGCCCCCATCTCTCTGAGTCAGCAGCGGGTGGTTCACACCTGTAATCCCAGCACTTTGGGAGGCCGAGGCTGGCAGATCACTTGAGGTCAGGAGTTCGAGACCAGCCTGGCCAACATGGTGAATTCCTGTCTCTACTAAAATACAAAAATTAGCTGGGCGTGGTGGTGGCAGGCACCTGTAATCCCAGCTACTCAGGAGACTGAGGCAGGAGAATCGCTTGAACCCAGGAGGTGGAGGTTGTGGTGAGCTGAGATCGTGCCACTGCACTCTAGCCTGAGTGACAAAGCAAGTCTCCGTCTCAAAAAATAGTAAAAAATAAAATACTAGGATTAAATTCCATTGCTGGACAGGGTGGCTCACATCTGTAATCCCAGCACTTTTGGATCACCTCAAGTCAGGAGTTCAAGACCAGCCTGGCCAACATGGAGAAACCCCATCTCTACTAAAAATACAAAAATTAGCCAGGGTGGTGGTGCGTGCTTGAACCACTTGAACCCGTGAGGCGGAGGCTGCAGTGAGCTGAGACTGTGCAACTGCCCTTCAGCCTGGGCCACAGAGTCAGACTCTGTCTCAAAACAAACAAACAAACAAAAATGTCCAGTCCTGCCTGTGGCCTACAAGACCCTCTGCACTCGAGCTTCCCTGGGCAACTACTCCAGCTCCATCACTCCACTCAAACATGCTTCTTTCCTTCTTGTTCCACGAATGTAACAAGTACATTCTCTCCAGGGGCCTTTGCACTTGATTTTGGTCTCCCTGGACCCATATTCCTCAGGAACCCACAGAGCTCCCTCACTTACTTACTTCCGTTCTCAGCTCAAGTGACTTCTCCTTCTGAAATGGCACTGCCTGACCTTGCATTCTCTGCGGTTCCTTCACTTTCTGATCTGCGGTCATGTGCTTGCTTGCCTTTCTGATCGTTGCCTATCTCTTCCGCAGAATGCCAGCTCTGGGAGGTCAGATGGTGATTCTATTTGGGCACTGCTGTGTCTCTGGGGCCCAGCATAGGCCTGGCACACAGAGGTGCTCAGTGAGCACGTGTCGAATTCTGGTGGGTCCAGGAGCTGGGTGGGGAAAATCTGAGTGAACCTCAGTTCAGGACCTTGTTGTTGTCTTGAGACGGGGTCTCACTCTGTCGCCCAGGATGGAGTGCAATGGTGCAATCTCAGCTCACTGCAAACTCTACCGCCTGGGCTCAAACGATCCTGCCACCTCAGCCTCCCGATGGGACTACAGGCTCATGCCATCATGTCTGCCTAATTTTTGTATTTTTTGTAGAGACTGGGTCTCGCTGTGTTGCTCAGGCTGATCTCGAACTCATGGGCTGAAGCCATCGCCAGCCTCAGCCTCCCAAAGTGCTGGGATTACAGGCAGAAGGCACCACCCCCAGCCCCTGGTCCCACACGTTCGCCATGGTTGAGTGCCAGTCCTCCTAAGGATGGCCTTTGTGTCAAATTCCCTCATCATTTCCCAAACTTTAGAGGTTTGCCAACCACCTTCAGGACTTTTGTCCTATCAGTCACAGGCAACATGTTTATTTAATACATTTTAAAAATCAATTCAGTTGATTGATTTGTTTATTTATTTTGACTTAGCCTCATCCGAAGCCGGTTTGGCATTCTGGTTTCCTGATGCTCTGGTGCATACTAAATGAAGCATGTACAGTAGCGTCAGAGTAGCTCCACATGCCCGGGGTGTCCAGGCTGCACTTTGGGCAGCGCAGGGTTACTCCCCCACCCCTGGTTATTGACAATGTTCTGAGCCTCTGGGCAAAGTCCTCCCAGGCCAGACCTGCTGGAGCCAGGGTCTGTCATCAGGGGACAGGTGTGTTGTGGCAGGGCGGGTGACCTGGAAGAGGCTTCCCTCCTGGCTGCTGAGAGGCCCCTGTGTATCCCCAGCCCCATGTCCTGCCTCTCTGGCTTTGCTTCAGCTCCTGGAATTTTGCTAAACATTGTCCCCCTTGGGGCCTTCACACAGGTGTGAGTTTCCTTCCATAGGGAATCCCCCCTGCGCCCCCGAGACCCTAAGTCACACTTAAGATTCTATGCTGTCAAACAGCGGTCCCCAACCTTTTTGGCACCAGGGACCGGTTTCATGGAAGATAATTTTTCCATGGACTTGGAAGCAGGGAGGGAATTGAGGATAATTCAATCACATTACATGTATTGTGCACTTTATTTCTATTATTATTACATTGTGATATATAATGAAATCAGTATACAACTCACCATCATGTAGAATCAGTGGGAGCCCTGAGCTTGTTTCCCTGCAACTAGATTGGTCCCATCCAGAGGTGATGGGAGACAGTGGCCGATCATCAGGTGTGATCAGTGAGCGCACAGCCTAGATCCCTCACGTGCGGTTCGCAGTAGGCATCGTGCTGCTGTGAGGATGCATGCCGCTGCTGAGCTGACAGGAGGCGAAGCTCAGGCAGTCGTGCTTTCTTGCTGGCACTCACCTACTGCGCAGCCCACTCCCTAACAGGCTACAGAGTAGGCTCAGCCCACGGGCCTGTGCTGCATACCCCTGCTGTAAAGACCCTGAGCTTCTCCTTGGGAACAGGTGTCACAGCTGCAGTTTGATATTGTGCCTGAGATTCTTTCATGTCCCTCTTCCCGTAAGACTATAAGCCCCATGAGGAAAGGGCATGCACCCCCTGGCTTGGACAGGCCCCACGGAGGTCCCCGCATGCCTCCTTTCCTTCTGCATGTGGACTTCCTGTTCCAGCCAAGCAGCCCCATGTCACCTCCGCCCCTGACCTGGTTTGTTTATTCCTGCCTCTAGGACTTTATTTTGGTCTGTGCTGTGTCCTCTGCCTTCTTCAAAACCCAGGGAGAGGCCAGGTGTGGTGGCTCACACCTGTAATCACAGCACTTTCAGCCGAGGCAGGTGGATCACTTGAGGTCAGGAGTTCCAGACCAGCCTGACCACCACGGTGAAACCCCGTCTACTAAAAATGCAAAAATTAGCTAGGCGTGGTGGTCCGTGCCTGTAGTCCCAGCTACTTGGGAGGCTGAGGCAGGAGAATCACTTGAACCTGGGAGGTGGAGGTTGCAGTGAGCCAGGATTGTGCCACTGCACTACAGACTGGGTGACAGAGTGAGACTCCATCTCAAAAAAAAAAAAAAAAAACCACACACACACACGGAGAACTGTCACCTAGGAAACCCTGCCCTCACTGCCCACAGCCCACAGCTTAATTTTACTGCTCCTCCAGCACTCGGGCTCTGGGAGCTGCTGCTGGTTCTCACCAAGATGGCCGTGTAGCACAGCATCAGAGTGTGGCCTCTGGAGCCAGCTGTTGGGGCTCAAATCTGGGCTCCACTGCTAACTGCTGAGGACTGTGCTTCAGCCGCTTGTTCTCAAATGTCCACAAGCATCAGAATCCACCAAGGACTTCTCTAAACACAGACTCCTGGGCCCCACCCCAGGGTTTTTGATTTCTGAAGTCTAGGACGGAATCTGAAAATTCACCTTTCTAGCAAGTTCCCGGGTGCTGCTGCTGCTGCTGCCTAGGGACCACACTTTGAGAACCACGGTCATCATTGTTAGGGAAGGTAAATGAGGTTAATGGAGATGAATTAATATAAACTAGGTAGAATCATAGAAAGCGTTCAACAACTGTTAGTTACTAATCCGTTTACACCAGACACTCTGGCCCTTTTAAACTTCCTGACAGATACTATACAACAAGTACATTTGATATAAAAATTAGCCAGGAATCGTGGCAGGTGCCTGTGATCCAGCTACTCAGGAGTCTGAGGCAGGAGAATCGCTTGAACCTGGGAGGTGGAGGTTGCAGTGAGCCGAGATTGCACCACTACACTCCAGCCTGGGTGACAGAGTGAGACTCCATCAAAAAGAGGAAAGGAAAGGAAGGTAAGGGAAGGGAGGGGAAGGGAGGGAAGGGGAGGGAAAGGGAGGGGAGAGAAAGGGAAAGGGAAAGGGAAAGGGAGGGGAAAGGGAAGGGGAAGGAGAAAGGGAAAGGAAGGAAGGAAAGGGTGCATTTGAATCAGAGGAATCTAGTCCAGGGCCTGGCCACACCATTTCTGAGCTCTGGAACCCGGGGAAAATCACCTAAATTCTCTAAGTCTCAGCGTTCTCATCGTCACAGGGTTGTCCATGGAGTCCCTTCTCAGGATAGCCTGAGCCTCTGGAAAGTGCTCAGTACACAGCTGTGCTTAATTAATGTTTCTTGAACTGAATGTAGTGATGTGTAAAGGCTGATGCTGCAAATTGCAGCATGAATGTGAGAGATGGCGGTGAAACCAACACGGGCTGGAGAGACCTAGATCTGTGGCTCGCACTCCAAGCTGCAGCGACCAGGAGGTAATGTCGTGAGGGAAGCCGGCCAGGTGTGGGACAATAGGGAGTGGTGGGGACTGCAGCCAATGCATAGGACCCTCCCTTTCAGCAACTCGTGGCCACATGCGAGTGCAAGCCCATGAAGATTTTTATGTGAAATCACCCAGAAGTCAACCCAGACCCAGCCTGAAGCTACCAGCTCAGAGTGGGAGCAACTGAATGGCCATTGGTCCTGGGTTCAAGGCTAAAATCCCCAGGTCCTTGTCTGCACACAGGGCTCAGCCGAGAGCAATGAGAAACTCTGTGATGGTTTGGGAGACGATGGGATGGCAGGCTGCCCAAAGACGGGTCAGAGAGCATCAGGATCTAGACTGGCATTTGGCTTCGGGGCATTTATTTCATGTCCCTTTTTGTACAGGCCCCGGGCCAGGTGTGGGGGCAGGAGACCAGGCAGGAAGTAGCAATAAATAACACGGACAGACAGAGCTCCCCTCCAGACAAACGAGGGTAAAGGAGGTTAGAGAGGAGCCATAATGAGGGCATGGGTGTATTGGCAGGGAGGGGCAGCTGGGAGGAGGGGGAGGTCAGACCCCCAGGACCTCACTGTCACCTGCCTCATTCTCCTCCCACCCAAGCCCCCGATACTTTTGGGAGGAAGGGAGCCCACAGCCAGTGGGGGCCAGCGAGGGTCCTGAGGGGGGGTCAGCCACGCTGGCTGCCCCCAGCTCCTTCACTTGACCCGGATTTCAGCATACTCAGCCAGCTCCTCCGTCAGCGTGTAGCTGTCCTTGGTGGGCCGTTTCCCCAGGTCTGAGTGGGAATAGCTCAGGTCCAGCTCTGGGGATTCGCCCCGAAGGCCCAGCAGCCTCCTCTCAGATCCCAGGCGCCTCTCGCTCTAGGAGGGGAAACCACCCATTAGCAGGGTCCTGCTCCCTGCCTTTTCTGGATGCAGAGGCCAGAGTGTTTGCACCCTCAGAGCTTCCTGAGTTCAGTCCCAAATCAATCTCTGCATGAACCTCCTTCCTCAAGGATCACAGGCCCAGTAAGGCCCCCGATCACTGGGTCCCACTCTGGAGCTTCTGCCAGGGTTAATCATTGTTGAGCTTGAAATCTGCCTACAAATTCAGTTTCTCCAGGAAGCTTTCTTCTTCTTTCTTTTTTTCTTTTCTTCCTTTCTTTTTTTGAGACCCAGGCTGGATTGCAATGGCGTGACCTCGGCTCACTGCAACCTCCACCTCCCAAGTTCGAGCCATTCTCCTGTCTCAGCCTCCCGAGTAGCTGGGATTACGGGCACCTGCCACCACGCCTGGCTAATCTTTTGTATTTTTGGTAGAGACGGGGTTTCACCATGTTGGCCAGGCTGGTCTCAAACTCCTGACCTCAAGTGATCCTTCTGCCTTGGCATCCCAAGGTTCTGGGATTACAGGCATGAGCCACTGCACCTGGCCAGGAAGCTTTCAATATAGGAGTTTGAGGGGCACACAATTTAACCCCTAACGCCTTCCCAGGTGAAAGCCACCT